CTGAAACCATTGGCGGTTGTGCTAGTAACCATAAATTATCCTGGTCATTTACATACAGATGATGTTGTGCTGGATATGCTGTCCCAGAAAATGGAAGAACTGCTGTCTGAAATAAAAAGCTGTTTTCCATCTAGCATGGTATGTAGAAATCACTGTGATAATAAAGAGTGGATGCTTAGTATAGCATTTCTGGTTATTATGGATTTTATCATTTTCAAATAGCTGGAATTACATAGTGCAGAAATTCACAGATTTAGGTGTATATGGGGTGAAGAGTGAGTTTGTAAGAGTATTTCTGATGACTGAAAACAAGTAGTTGGAAGTTTTTTCTTCACGCTGTAATTTTTTAAAACTATGTTCTAGTCTCTTGCAACATTTCATTGCATTAATTTACTACATACTAAAACAGGCTAAAGTTTACAGGAATAAAGCATATTACATCCAGTTATTTTTGCTTTGCAAGTGGCATCCTTAAAAAAACCAAAACACCCAAAAAACAACAAAACAAACCCTTGTGACAGTTTGCCTGAAGGTTTAACTTATATTAAATTTCAAGAAGTAGTCATACTGCAAAAAGGTAACTAGTTTAAACACCAGAAACAGCAAATTTATTCAAGTATTTAAAGTGTTACACTAATATTTCCTTTGCAATGGCTTGCTGCCAAGAAACTACTAACTAGAAGTTTGTTCATCAAGCCAATAAAACTGGTTAGTCTTATAACTTTCCTCTTTTTAGTTACGCGTTTAGCCTGCTTACATTTGTCTCAAAGACAGTTACATGCAAACTTGTTCTCCAGTGCCTCCCACAGGCGTTGCCTGCACCATTTTAATGAACAGGGCAGCTATAAGGTGGTGCAGAAAAAGAAGTCACAAAAGAGAAGAAAGCTCCCTCTTCTGTTGTAAACCTAATCCGTTGTTCCCCGTGTCCCCTGCTGACAGACAGCACAGACAAGGCCAGAACACTCTTGTTCTGGCAATACAAGCGTGCGACATGCAACTGCTACATCTCCAAACCCCACTCCCTGTTACCTTCCCGTATCCATTTAGATTATTTAAATCATAGCATTAGTGTTGAGTCTGGTAGTAACAGTTGCTTTGGATTTTCAGAATCAGACCCCACACGTTTAAAACACCAGCCACTTTACAGACCTATGTCAGACACAGTGTTTTTATTAATAAATGAATATAAAAATAAGTGAGGCAACAAGGTAACCTTGTATTTGACAATTCTCACATTTCTCTCCAGGAGATAATGACCCTTGTGGATGCAACGCTTTTGAAACTGCGGAAGTAAAAGAAAAACTTTTTGTAGAAGAACAACACTTGTACACTTCTGTTCAGATATAAAAGCTTCGATCCTCCAGAAATATTTTAGAAGCTTTTTCTCACCAGAAAGATTAATATTGGGCCATTAATAATATATGAAGTTATATATTCTGTTGATTTAGGTACCACAACTGTGAGACTAACAGCAATAATTAAGAATTCACCTTACTTTGTAGACTTTAAAATACTTGAAATAAAGATTTTAGTCTTGGGAGTTTCAGCAAAGCAATGACAGTTTCTTCCTTCATCTATCGTAATTTAAAAACACTTTTTTTTTAACTTAGTGTATATTTCCTTTGCAGAAATGGAACTGGTGAAGTACTTCACAAATGCAGGCATTTGTTACAAGTATTGTTTAAACACAGGAGTAGGCGTTAGGCATAGGTACCATCCAGAAAGGGGATACTAGCAGTATTCTTGTATGGCAGCATTCACCTACCAGGTTAGGAAGTTACTGTCTTTTGACTGATTTTTATGAAGTAGCTGCTGTCAGTTCTGAGTTATCTCTAAATTTGCCCTGGAATGCGACATGAAACCAGCAAATGCTGCAGATAAAAACACAGGGTAGAATCATTCAAGTTTTACAATTTTTGTTGTTAGATTTGTTCTTAACAGCAGCTTCCCATTTCTTTTTCTCTAAGGTGTACAGTCTCATAGCTGCTTGTGCATCCTGAATCTAAAAGAGAACAGAACAAACAAGCGGCCTAATGAAACATAGCTGACATGGTTTAAGAACATTGTTAATAAGCAGCTAAATCTTACATCATTTTAAGACATCCTTTCAATTAACACTTCATAATCTCTTTCTAGATTTAGGTTCTGTGGCTAGTGGAAGGGGATGAGTATGTGTTCAGAATGCATGGCCCACCACAAGGCTACGCGCTTCTCTTTCTGATCGTGACTTGGAAAGCCATAATGAAAAAATACTCTTGATACAGTATCTTGGAGATACCCTCACAACTTGCCCTGCTTTTTCAGTTCATTCCTCTATTATATCCTCCTGGCAGCTGAAAGACAGGAACTAACTGCTGAGATTCGGCAGTAGGCTCTCACACTATTTTATCCAACCCGCCATAGTACAATGGTGCAGAATGCTGCTTTTAAGGTAAGCGGTTGATACTTGAGAATTACTTTTTTCCCTGGGGATCTTAAAATAACAAGAATTAATATTTAAACAAAATACAGTTGACTTGTGCAAAAAGTTTATGAAAATAAGGAAGTAATCCAAGTGGTATGGGACACATAATGGTAAGCAAGCTTAGATGACAATCTTACTGCATGCTGGTGTCCAAGCAGAGCTTGAGTGAGAGGCTAGAATGAAGCCACAGCATTCTGGATTGAACCTAGATCCTAGAGCTAATGCGTAGTACCTTGTTGATCTACCCAAAAATGTATATTCTGACGAGATACATACCGAGCAGTGCTCTGATGTCTGCACTTGAACATTCAGCAGTCTCTCACAGAGCAGTTTCAATGATGGCCGTGCATTCTAGAAACAGAAAAGATAGAATCATGCTGTCTTGCACTATTTGAGAGAGATATATAGATGTGTGTGTACATATATATGTATACTAAAAAATACTAGTTTAAGTGTATTCCTCAATGAAGTATAGCACACCTGAGCTTCTACTGGTTAACTGTCAAGAATAATTAATGAATTATGAGATTTATGTGTGTGCTGCTGAGAGGATTTTAGGTGTATTACCATAACCCTAAGATTTATGTTTGGGGTGCTTTGTTATGAAAAAGAAAACCTGAGTATATAGTTATGAAACTTAAAATATCTTCCTATAATCTGAACCTTTACTCTTGCAGTCTAAGCAGAAACTTGAAGCCATCTATTTTTTTTTTATATCCCTATGGAAATGGTACCATTAAGAAGATCGCATAAGCCTTACTGTAAGTAGAACTCTACCATCTTATTTTGCTATCCACAGAAGCATTATGAAGACCATGCAAGTGCTAAAGAATGGGAGAGCCACTGAATTTCGTGCACAGGTATTACTGGTAACGTTTGTACTGAACTAAGTAACTTACTGATATATTTCAAACACTAAGTAAGCGTTCAACCAGACTAGTATTTTCAGATGACAAAAAGCAGGCATCCCTGTTTCAGGTAGGAAAGAAGGAACAGGGTCAGGTAGAGGCAAGTGTAGGAGTGAGCTAGCAGCTGGCAGTCAGCAGCTCAAGAGTCAGTTAATTGAGGTGCACCTTCCCGTCAGCTTCTTACCTTGACTCTCTGTCTGAAAGGCTTGTATTTTTGTGTGTCGCGTATCTTCTTCTGAGGATGATCAAGAAATAGGACCTAGAAGAAATTACATTTCCAGTCCAAAGCGTGCTGTCGCATGGAAGTTTATACAGCTGAATGTACAGCTTCCTGCTCTCCTTCCATCCATTATAAGAGAGAGTTCAAAACCATGAATGGACAAGACCAAGATCATCCAGACGCTGGCTGGATTCAAGAACCACAGTTCTACTTAGCATGAGAAACAGAACTGAGGCTGGAGGCACCGCCTGTAGCGACTACCTGCAGCGCTGGTACAACATGACATAAGATACCTGTCTCTGGAAACGATGACCAGACTGCTGAGCTTTGGGGGCTAAGCAAAGCATGCAAGCTGTTTTTTCACCACTCTGTTTCTTTCCTGGCTCTTTAGTAAGCAGATCAGTGCTATTGGCAACAGAATTTGGAAGTTGAAGAACTTTAGTGGGCAAGTGATTAGGGCTGTACTTGGTGCAGCATGAAATAACAAGAAACTGAGGTAACAGTGATAAAGCCGTAGTTTCTAGGAGTTCAGGTGTGTTCATCTGATCCAGAAAGATGTATTAGAAATTTAATCAATCTTAAATTTTTGGAGCCTTGTCTTCAAAATAACAAATCTGCAGCCATGTACCTTTAGATCATTGCGTAAAGCATGTCCAACTAAAATCCTCCCATTCAAGATGTCAGCGACCTCCTTCTGAACCGTTCTAAAATCTTCACCTAAAAATACCGCACAATGAAACGCTCCCCGTTAGATGCATAAGACAACTAAGCAAACTACAATTAAAACACTGAATCTTTTTTGTGAAGGCAATTGTATCCTTGGGACTGTAGCTACACAAATTTGTACAGCACACCAAATCCTCTGCTTGTTACAAGAGCATAGAGAATTCCATAAAGAGCATAGCACTGAAAGGAAATAAACTTCCTATTATTCCCATACCATAATCCATGAGTTAATTTCTTCCAGGGCATTAGTGACCACTCTGTAAGAAGTACTTCTTCCCACAATGTTTCTTAGCACTCGGACTACGTTTTGTTTTCCATTTCCCCAAATAGGTCTAAAACTTATCCAAGGCACGAGGCTTCTGTGATAGTCCGTAAAATTCTCCCTCCTTAAAGAACGTTTTGGGGGAAGAAAACCTCCTACCTGTATTTATATTCTCAGGGCGTATGCCGCTAACAGCCGTTCTGTAATCAGTCACCTCTTCTGTAGGCTTGACATACTTGTCATAAATGCACTTTCCAAATTGGTTCACGATGGACACACGAGCCACAATACTGTCTTCACCCTTGGGTCCCACTCCCACCATCTCACAGTCCATGGCTACAGCTCGTGTCAGCCTAAAAGACAAAGGACAGCTTGGTGACACCTCTGTTACAGGGACCGCAGAGTGGAGTTCACAAGGTTCGCAGGTTGATACGAATGGGGAAGACTGGGCAGTTTGTCTGTCAGCAGACTCGGGGAGATGTCAGCTTACGCTGCGCACCTGCAAATCACAGCTATTAGAAGGTAATCTCTGCCACCATCCTTCCCGCTGGAATGCCACTCACCCTTCAGAAGCCTTTTCTTTAACCAGCACCTGTTCCACAGACTGGTTGGATTGGCCTGTTTCAAGTCCCAGATTTCTTCTAGCAATTTTTGCTGCTTCAGGTCCTATTGCTGCTTCAATATCTTTTGGATCAACGTCATCAAACCAGATTTCAGCCCTGGTAAGTACAGATTTAATTACATTTAATGGTCTTAAAGCAGTCTTGCATCTTTATAGTGTAGGAAAAGCGTATTTATTTTTTTAAATCAAGAAATTAGCTTCGTGAAAATTAGTCTAGTACTGTCACCTATGCAGGTGCGTTGCTGTATCTGAGGAGTAGGAGCAGCATGCGTCTTATTTCTCCCAAAATTTAGTCTGGAAGAGTGCAGCTGTTTTGAACGTACTGCTCTCTGCTCCTTATGTACAGCTCTCAAAATAAATATTCACATACACATACGATGCCTGAAGTACTCACTCTTTGGGTTGCTGCTCCGCACGTTCTTCAGCTTTCCTCCTCTTATGTTTTATATCCCCGTTCTCCTTTAGAATATTGCCATTTTTCTTTTTTTCTTTGCAGCCTTTTCCATCGCTTTTGGTGCCATTTAAATTCTTATCCATTGCAACCTTCTTGGATTTTGGCTTAGCCAAAGGAGGATTGTCTTTGGCAGAACCATTGTCCATTTTATTTGTGGATTTGGCCTTTACCACATGCCCGTTCCCATTGACAGCTGGAACTTCTTGGCTGTTTCCCGCTTTGAGTGGATGCTTCTTTTTGGCGTATGTTTGACACGTAGACAGGGACTCCTTGGGGCTGTTTGCCTTTTGTTTCAGTAGCTAAAGTGACAAAAAGAAGGAAAAAAGGATCATCTCCCTTTGTTTCTGGGCTCTTGGCCTCCCGCCTCGGTGCCGAGTGGCCCTGGACTCCCTAGCGACAGGGGCATTGCCTGCAACGGGACGTCCCAGCCGCCTGCCCGCAGCACTTTATTTATTGACGCGAAGATTATCGTTTTTTCTAAATTACTACAGCCCGCCGGGGA